GTGTCCTCATAGGGACCCCAGAGAGTGTGGGGTGCCCTAGCGCCTGAGTGAGGGCACAGTACTTTAAGGGGGAACCCCAGTGGTATGGGGACCCCAGCGCCAGTGAAGGCGCAGCGCCAGTGAAGGCGCAGCTTGCGGCGTGGAGCGCAACCAGTGGGTTGTGGGCGGGGAACATAGACCCCGGGTTGTATGCGGGGCACGTAGACCCCAGCCCCAGAGAGGGGCAGCGTTAAGACCCCGCAGAGGGGGCATGATAAGCCCCAGAAGGGGGCAGTGCACTTTAGAGGAGCCCAGCGTGGGCCCAACGAGTCCCCGTGAAAGGGGGGGGACTATTGAGAAGCCCAAGGTGGGCACGGTGAGCCCCGAAGAAGGGGAGCGCCATATTGAGAAGCCTGAGCCCGGCCATAGGCTAGTGCGGCAACACCCCTCAGACAGAGGCAAGGGGCCGCGGTTGTCCCCGAGCAGTACGGTGAGCCTGGATCAGAGAGGGTACCCGTGCGGTTGGCCTGAAGGACCGGAGACCCGCTAGAGGGGCCCTGAGCAGGACCACACTTTTAGAGAAGGCCCAGAGTGGGCTTGACGAGAGTCCCAGAGAGGAGCTGGGTATTGGAGAGAGCCCAGAGTGGGCTAGATTACAGGAGAGGGCCCGAGGAAGCGGGCGTGTATTGTGACCGGACAACGTCTATCCCATCTGCGAGGCTTGGGGCGTGGTATTAGGGGTTGGTAGGAGCCACGCGCAGCCCATAAGGCTAGGGTGCCTGGGAAGCACCCATCATACCGGGAGACCACAGGAGTCCGGGAGAACCGCGGGGACAGAGGTCCCGAGTAGCCATGCCCAGGGAGTCATAGGCAGCCTCCCAACCTTGTATGTACCAGCAAGACGTGACGGACGAGAATAAGAGGGTGTCTTGGGCCGGCCTTGACACGGAGCGAGGGACCTCGAGGAGATCACGGCCCTCCTGCAGGACCCCGCCGTGACGCACTCTACCAAAACACTGATCACCGGTCCGGAAACCAATCTGGCCTTTCCATTGCAAGGAAAAATATGCCCTCATTAATAAACAAGGTCAAGACCTTGCTGATTTTTGGGAGAGGTAAAGGTAGGCATGTCTTTGTGTATATGTTTGGAGTGTTTATATGCCAGTGTGGAAGGCAAGGACCTAGACAGCTGGGCATTAGAGAAGACATGACCCGTAGTATCCCAGTGCTTAGAGGTGGCTTTCTGGCCAACACGGGCAACGCACTCAGCCTATCTCGCGTTTGAAGTGGATGCAGTAGTCATCTTTGCCCCCTGTTTTTCAACGGGTGTGTAGGGTCGCTGTTCTTTTTCAAACAGCTGCTACATCTCACCCCCCCTCGAGAGAGCTGCATTTTGTTGGCGAATGCTTGCAATCCCTGGCTGTATTTTGTGTGTCGGTTTGCATTTGTAAAATACTGTGATGTCTTCCTGGATGAATGGTGCTATGGAAACGTACCGCAAATGTCACTGAACTTTTCTTTTCAATAAAGGGTTGCCTTGCACATCCTCGGAGGGTGAGAACTTCACCAAGCCCAGAAACTGGTGCAAAGGTTTAGCAAACAAATGCCAATTCCAGTGGCGGGGAGGAAAAGGAAGGATGAGAGCATGGGGTTGGGTTCACGAGACATGATTAAGGAGATGTGCTTTTGGCACCGATTCCTTTTAGCCCTGGTGCAAATCTGTTGGGGCTCGGGCTAGTAATAGACTTGGATGCCTACAAGCTGGGTACTGCAATTCCCTTAGCTCCTTATGGAAAGTGACTCCTCTTATATCCAGTTATTCTGGAATAACTCTCTATGTTAAAACACTTATTCCAGGATAAGTCGAGTTATTCCAGCATAACCACAGCTGTGCTGTTTAGCTTCCCTGTGTAGAGAAACCCTTAGTCTCCCGCTAGGCCTGTGAAGCCTTGATCTCTTTTTGGGGCCGCTCGGGCTCACGCAATGCCAGTAATTAATAACAATATGCTGCTCCAACATCTCTACTCTAATAGCCGAGCTGCACTGAATCAGCTCAGTGTTAATCACAGGAAGGGAAACAGCACCGCCTCTCCAAAAGACCTTCCTAATGTATTGCAGAGCAGCACTGCACATAGTGGCCAGCCAAACCCAGGGTTCATAAAAAATAAATAAAAAGGCCTAGGAACCATGAGAGTCTTTAAATTTAATATCCAAAAGGGACTTGGAAGAAAATTAAAGTTTCGGAGAACCCCTCCCAGCTACCTTTCCAAATCTACTGCTCCTCAGCAAAAATTCAGCAGATTGAACTGAGCTGCCAATACCGGGAGTGCTTTTCCTCTCGTTCTGTTCTCCAAGGGGATGTTTACTGGACTCAATTAAATCTAGCGATGGAGACCAAATTAGCATCTGAGATTCACAGGTCTTGGACTCTCAGAAAGCCTGTGTTCCCAGTGTTTTCAGAAACTGCATTATTCGACAGGCTGTAACAGTATTAGAATATAAAGCAGGAGGCGTAATGGTACTGGACAGTTCTCAGTTGCCGCTGATGTATTAGCTGGTAGACGCTTGCTTTTGCACGGGGCGGTGTTAGCCGCAATGTGCAGGGAACCTGCGAGCCGCTGATTATTGAGAAGTCAAGCTGCTAGGACTGGAGTACATTAAGCAGTAAGTCCTGAAGATTCAGGACTCTTTCCTGCAAGCTGCCGAACGTTTCCCAGTTCTCATTTATTGACTTACCTGGAAAGTGAAAAGCCTAGTTGGTAATGGGAAGATTTGTGAGCAGAATGGGAGAGAGAGCTCGACTTCATGTATCCAACCCTATTTCCCAAACTGGCACCTGGTCTAATGATCACCATTTAGATAAAAACAGCATTCATAGTGGGGAAGCAGAGGCAGGAGATGCGGGTACAATTCTTGCCTTTGCTGTTGAGTTATTTGTGTGACCTTGGCCAAGTCACTTGAGGCTGGGCTATTCAAAGGGCTCTGATGACAGGAGGCACTTGCGTACCTTCAGAGTTTGGTGGGCTGTATCACCTCCATTCCTTAGACTCCTTTGCAAATCCAGCCCAGAGCTTCTCAGTGCATCACTTCTCCAGCTACAAAATAAGGGCGCTCATACTTTTATTCCTACCAGGACTGTTGCACCCTAAATGCTTTGCAGGATTTTGGATACGATAG